AGAGGCTGCCACACTCGAGTTAACCCCTATCATGCGCAAGCAGCAGAACCAACGACTTGCAGCGAAGCATGCGTGTACTACACCCAGTGGGTTGGCATGGTGTCCGTGACCCAGTGCTTCGTCCAGGGCCCTTCAAGAAGCTCCGCCCGTCTTCCTCCAGATGCTCCACGTGAACAATCACGACTCTCAAGGTTGAGCGCTCACGACACCTCACGATGAGAGGACTCTCAAGACAGAACTCACAACCTCACGGTAAGAAGTGATGAAGAGGGTAGGTAAGGTTAAGAGCAACGTACCTCGTTCATGTTGCCCCCAACCACAGAGATAATCTCACCAGATGACCTGAAGATGATCGCGATGACCAGTCACAGCATCGGCACAACCAGCATTTCGCCGTTCCACCTCAACTTCAATCACCAAACAGATAGTTCTCATCACACTGCGAACACCCAATATTCACACCTTAGCCTTCTAGGCGCTGCCCCTCACCACCTGGGTCGCCTTCCACTCGTCTTCACCCTCACTACACACCACTTACGGCCAAACTCTCTCAGCAGACCGCATGTATGTACCGTATAAGGCAGAAGACAAGCTCCAGATGAGCGCAATCGTACCACAGCTCTGATACCAAATTGCAAGGAAGATGAGCAATAGCGAATTCCAGAACTCAAACAGCATCATACATGAGTGACCAAATAGCCATGACCTCGAACCATAAGCAGAATGGCATCACGAGTTATACCAAATAAGAACACAGCAATAGTTCATAATTGACAATGCTGAAATTGTCTCTCATCATCATCAACGAAGAATAAGAGCTGGTATCCTATTTGCGCTCGGCGCCCGGACTACAAGAGGGCAGATCCTATCTAGCCAACTACTACAATGCCGAAGTTGACGTCAACAGCTTCACCGAAGTACGAGCATATGCGGCCAATGCCGCTCGTCTCAAGCACCAGGTATGACTCCCGCTTCGCTCTCAACCCCGATCCCCACCGCACAGATGCCTCTAGCACCCAAGGACCAACCTGCGCCCAAACCAGCTTACAGCAGGCAGCGTGGCTATGGCTGCCTGCTTCTTCCACACTCGCCCGTGAGTGCGAGGGCGCCAGCCAGCAAATAGAGCAGTAGCGCTCTCGCCGCATGCAGCCAGCACCCGAATGTGTAATGAGGAGGCTGGCCCTTGCCTATATCCCCGTGGCCTGCCTGCGTCCAGTCCAAGAAGCTTCCAGTAGGCCCCGGTAGCCTGAGGCCCAGTCACGAGGAATGCAGGCATTGGGCCTGAAGTAGTTGCATGTGCCCAACTGCTTTCGGCCTGTGCTTGGCCCGGTGCCCGTACCCAGCCCAGGGCCTGCTTTACATTGATTCACACGGGCGGCCCAGGGCCTGAGTTCATTCAACCAACTGATGCTGTGCAACTGCCTGAATTTCCCCATTTGCGGGGGTACCCTGAAAACGAGGCCCTGAGGGCCTGTCGTGCCTGCCTTCACTTAGGGCGGCCGACCTTGTTGCAAATAAGGCCCGTAGGGCTAAGCGGGCATAGCATCGCAGATGGACCATTTCTCTATTTATGAGTGTCATCCATAGTTGCACAGCGTGGGGCGGGGCGGTGCACAGTGCGCTGTGTGCTGGAATTCCAGTGCGCGCACTGTGCGCA